ATAGCTGGTCCTCTGTGGATAGAAATATAGAAGGTTAGGGACAAACTGGTGAATGGTGGCCATAGCTGGGCCTCTTTGGATAGAAATATAGAAGGTTAGGGACAAACTGGTGAATGGTGGCCATAGCTGGGCCTCTTTGGATAGAAATATAGAATTTTATGGACAAACTGGTGAATGGTGGCCATAGCTGGTCCTCTGTGGATAGAAATATAGAAGGTTAGGGACAAACTGGTGAATGGTGGCCATAGCTGGGCCTCTTTGGATAGAAATATAGAAGGTTAGGGACAAACTGGTGAATGGTGGCCATAGCTGGGCCTCTTTGAATAGAAATACAGAAGGTTAGGGACAAACTGGTGAATGATGGCCATAGCTGGGCCTCTTTGGATAGAAATATAGAAGGTTAGGGAAAAACTGGTGAATGGTGGCCATAGCTGGTCCTCTTTGGATAGAAATATAGAAGGTTAGGGACAAACTGGTGAATGGTGGCCATAGCTGGTCCTCTTTGGATAGAAATATAGAAGGTTAGGGAAAAACTGGTGAATGGTGGCCATAGCTGGTCCTCTTTGGATAGAAATATAGAAGGTAAGGGACAAACTAATGGTGGCTCTTTGGATAGAAATATAGGAGGTAAGGGGCAAACTAATGGCACCACCTGCGATTTGTTATTGACAGCATTTTTATAGACCTCATGTTTCAGACACTGACTGCAGAATGCTGAACACCAACCGCCATCCACAAAGTTTGAGACTGTACTATTATATCACTGCTTGGGGTGGTGATTTAATGATATCACTCAAAGTGATCTGATAATGTATAATACAACAAAAAATCTGGTTGTCATGTACAAAAAAACAACAACAATGTGTGATAATAATTTCCTCTTATATGTACAATATTTGAATACTCACGCCTCTTGTGACCACCTATATCTCAAAATGCCCTTGTCATCTGAGCTCTTAGTGCCATCAAGCTGCACCTCAGGCTCACCAAATGTAGTCTCCACATCATCACCTGCATTGGCGATTGGTGGTGGGTTCTCAGCTGGAATACATTCATTATTCAATTTACATGTACACCAATTTCCATACCAGACCGTTCATACATAGGAAGTTTTTCCAATTTATACATGGTTTCACCAATTTCAACATGCTCTAAAATTTTCCAAAATTTTGTTCGATCTGGTAAGGAAAAAATGAACTGAATGTTTTCGTATTCAAGCAGTTTATTTTTCATAAATAGATTACAGTAAAACCTGTCTTTGTGAACACCTCTCTCTAGTTACCCTCTGTAGTGAACACCTACCAAAACTGAAAGTTTTTTCTTGGCAAAAAATGTTCAATATACCCAGATTTCACTGTACTATCTACAGTATGTGTATGAAATCCCTTACTTTTGACCTCTACTCTGACTTTGTCTTCATCTTCCAGACCATCAGAGTCAGTGACCTTCACCTTAAACACATAGATCCCATCCTGCAGGTTGGACAATATTGCCTTTGGACCATTCTCACTTTTATATCAACTGGGGGACCACTGAAAATATAAGTTTTTATTTGTTTATATAGATATTTGTATATTAGAATATTGTATACAGATATGAACTGGAAAAACAAATAGATACTAGTATTGGTACATGTACATGTGTCTTAGAGATTTCATGATTCAGTTGAACAAATCAAGAACACAAAATAAACACACTTAAAAATGTCAAAAAATTCCTTTTAATCTTCTATAGGGAAAAGTTGACTATTCTATTATGACTTAAACCTGTTCCAACATAAAAATTTCAATTTTGTGATTTGAGTTGCCTAGCATTATGTGTCCATGCACTTGGTATGTATGTATGGAAAGCCTACCTTTGTTTCTCCCATTGGTATCTCAGGCCTGGTTGTTCATCCTTACTGCCAGAAGCATCCAATGTAACAGCCTCAGGTCCTGGTAATGAGATGTATTGGGCCTTGCCAGCATTCGCCTTAGGGGGGATTTCTAACAACAAAAATACATGTAATGTGTCTTGGTTATTTCAGAGCAATCCTCAATATTTTCTCAACCAAATGCAAATTAAGTTAATATCAACCTAATCTCCATAGGAAACATAGAAGACTGGTTAAAATTAAGTTTACAAGAGAGGAACCGAAATACAATGGTTTTACCTCCAAGATTTTGTCACCATTTCCAACAGCAATTACACAAATGTACCTTTGTAACTATTTCGGAAAATATGTCCAAAGCTTCCACCTTACCTATTTTGATCGAGACATTCTTGATATCACATAGACTGTCATACACCTTCTTGGTTTCATTCACCAAAAGATCAAATGAAGGCACCTGAAATCAAATAATTCACAAGGAAATGTCATCAATGTGTAATATAAGCACACATGCCAAAAGGGAAAAAGAGGCATCTAAGAGCACAAGCAGTCATCAGGAAAACAAACACCCCAATAACCCAAATTATGACCTAAATAACCTGGACACAAACACCCACTCTCCACTTTAATGAAATGGTGAAGATTTCAAATTCATAGCTTTCACAACTGCATTGAAAATTTCATTTTGAGATCACAGATAGCTAGCGTCTCGTCATCCCATGGTCACTCGAGAGAGTTTTTGACAGCTGACCCATAAAGTGGGCTGAGCAGCAGAGTAAAACATACTTACCAAGAAGACTGATGATGGGTCATTGACTATTTTCTGCAGTTCTTCAGTTCTGTTTGACATGTTCACTCCAATACCTATAATCTTAACACCAGAGTTACGCAGCTTTCGCGACTGAAATACACATTGAATAAATACCTAACTTACATATCTTTACTTTAAATGATAAATTATATCATATACAGTATACAGTTCAATGATTGAGCATTACATGCTAATAATATATGACATCAGAAAATGCTGAGCACCATGTATGTTCAATTTATTAATATTAAATACATTTAATGGTTCAGTTTAAATATTTCAAAATGGGTCGAAAAACATGTATAACATCATATGATGAACTGTAACCAATACAAAAATTGCCTTGTGTATATGATATACAGATGTGGCTCATGAGCTTTAGGGCTCCTTTCCGATCTCATACCCCACTCAATGGAACTTCAGGGTTGATATTTGATTCTCCATCCACAATAAGTATAACAATATTAGGTCTGTTTTTGCGATCCTTTCCATAAAACACGTCTTCATTCAACACTTGGAAGCCCTCTCCGGTGTTTGTGCTGCCCCCATAGTAGTCTGTTCTGTCTAGACCCCTCAGGACACCCTCCTTAGTGTAATACTGCTCAAAGCCAAATTGGATATCAGCCTCTGTACTGAATGTTACTAAGGCAACCTATAAAAGAACCATGGCGATTATTAACATTGACTTTCACAGAGTTGAACATATTGCACTCAACTGCCATTCAAACGAGTCAGTCAACTTAGACACCTTTATAATTTATAATATTGAGTCGAAAAGCTCATAGTGGTCAGATTAAAATAGGCACTAACGTGCAAAATATCTGCCATTGGTTACAGACGCTGAAAGCTGAACACCGACCACCGAACATCAATGCTAAAAAAGTTGAAGACTATATATACTACAGTATGTCCACTAAACTCTATACTGATCTATCTACGTATAAGTTGGAAAGTGTTATTACCTGAGAATGACTCCCTCCCACATGAAGTTTCTCAATTATGGTCTTCACAAATGCCTTGACCTTAGCAAAGTTCGACTCTCCCATTGAGAAGGACTGATCAAAAAGGAAAGCAAGATTCCTCCTTGCTGGACACCCTGAAGGAAAAAACATACATACAGACAAATGGAATAAGAAACAGGGCATTAATATGGCAAAAGGTCACCACCTAGTTGCTCACAATATTATTAGATTAATCTTAAGTCAGATTTGAATTTCTTAAAACTCTGTAGAGGATTTTGAAAAAAATGTCAATTTGAAGCAAAAAAATACCTTTTTTTACCCTGAGAAGGTCATTGAAGGTGAAAACTGAAAGTCAGATTTGAAAGTCAGATTTGAACTTCTGAGAACTTGTAGATGATTTTGAAACAAATTGGTCAATTTGAAGCAAGTTGAAAAAATACCTTTTTGAACCTTTTTTTAAAAGGTCAAATCTTAAATGTAAAGTCAGAATTGAACTTCTGAAAACTTGTAGATGATTTGGAAAAAAATTGAAGTCAGTCTAAAAAGTATTTGTTAAGTTATTGGAAGTTTTAAGAATTTGTTACAGACGCCAACCACCAACCGCCAGCCACCGATTGCCAACCACCGATCAACAACCGCAGCCACAAAAAACGGAGATCATAACATGATAACAATATGTCACCACTTTTTAATATTTGTAATGGTATTTTGAAACAAGTTAAAAAGCCCTTTACTTTGTATTCTGCCTTCTTTATAACTAAAAAAATTCATCATTCAACACAGGAAAAGTCAAGATTAAAAATATTTTCAGGCTCTTACCATGTTCACATTTATCCCCTGAGAAGCCCTCTACACATTCACACACATAAGTGGTAATTTTGTCAACACATGAACCTCCATTCAAACAGGGGTTCTCTGTACAGAAACCTGTGTCTGAAATACATGTGGGAACATAAATCTTAAGTGGCAATTAAATCTTATGTAGATTTTTATCTCTCATGGGTCCCTTTAAGAATTATATGTGGTATTGAATTGGATGCAAATATACACATTTAAGTAATATCTTGTGATATTATTCTATTTCTATGTCAAATGACAATTCATGAAAAGAATTTCGTCATAGAGATCTGATTCTTGAAAATATTGCAGGAATTCAAAAAGTCAATATTTTCAAAATGTTTTTTTTAATCAATGAACTTGGCAAACCTTGACAAATAGCCTTTATAATCTTTGTTTCTACTTTCTCAAGGTCTATAAACTCTTTCGCAATGCAATGTATGCATTCATTTCTGAAGGTTCACTGGCGATAGCGAGAAGTTCCTGGCGTCCTATGTCCGAGATGTTCATACCAACTGTTATGATGTGGATGTCATGCTTCTTAGCCTTTCTTGCTTCAGTAATTGTCCTTATAAATAAAAATAACTCAAGGTTGATTTAGAGCTTGAAAATCTCCTTTACCAATTTTTACCAAAGAGAGGTGTCTATTTGAACTGAACTTGAATAGTTCTATATTATATCATATGTACATGTATCTATTCAGAAAACATTGATTATATTGAATTGTCTGCCTCGATCCCTTTAACATTTGGTTCATACCTGAATGTGTTTATGTTAGATTCCCCATCAGTCATTAGGATGGCAATGTTCTGTATATTTGGTCGATCACCATTGTAATGGCGGAACATCTTACGTCTCAACATGGAAAGAGCTGCCCCTGTATAGGTGTCGCCATATTCATATTCAAGAGCTCCAATAGCACGATGTAAACTCAATTTGTCCTGTAAATATTAAAATATAAATGTGTAAATGCAAATGTTAAATCTTAAACCATTTTTGTTCTTGTTTTTCCTGTAGCTTTTATTTATTTTATGGATCAGGTTGATATTTCAAACATTGTATACTGATGAACTTGATGAATTCTGATTAACGTCAAGTTTTGGTAGTTGCAGATGGCTCTCAATTAAAATTAAAATATTCTCTAACACAAGAAAAACTAGGGATACTATAAACTTTTTATTTCTACTTTCCAGTTTTCATGCATCAAAACACTTCAACCATACTACACCTGTTGAGAATTCGAAAAATACCTTGTACCCTATTGAAATCATTTTTTGTTTGAGATTTTTGATACTTCTTATAATAATATTTTCGTCTTTTACATTACACTATACTTGGCAATATCACTTAAATATTTGGAGATCTCTTAAATAAAGAGTGAATGCATGGCCATAGCTAATGAAGCAGGTGAAAATATTCATCTAAATTCAATGTTAAGAGCAAACCAAACTCAGAATCCCATGTATTGCCCATGGTCTTACCGAAATTATTGTGTGGTTTAAAATGCAGCTCTAAAATTCATCCAGCTTTTCCATTTAATTTAATATCTAATCAAACTAATTCCCCCTCAAATGATCCCCATGTACATGTTACTGTAAATCATGTTATTGCCACAGAAATTCTTAAACAAAATAGTCTTAAAAAATTCCACAAAAAAACTTTTTTTGATTACAATAATTATGATTAAAACCTCACAAACAAACTGATATTAGATAGCTTAGAATAATTTGAAAGGTCGGTTTTTCTATAAATGTGTTTTAATTGAGAAATATGAGCATAGAATTGACCAATTTCAAACAAAATGTGTTTTTTTAAATTGTCTTCCAGAGTGACCAGATCAGCCTGACCTTGTAATTCTTGCAAAGGCCATCAATTTCAATTCTAATAATAGATCTGTCAATCAAATCTTGGACTGCATTGTACTGAAATGTTATTTCTAGTTTGATTGTTCATGTTTTGGGATTTTGATTTTCTATAATAACTAGAATTGAAGTTTTGAAATAATGTTCAACATTTAATTTTGATGCATTATAAAAAGTATTCAAATATATGAGGTCAAAATGACCTATTTCATGCAACAAACTAGTGAGGTTTATAATCTAGGAAAATCAGCAATGATTTAAAATTATAAAAATGAATTTTGAAAGAAAAACATAATTTCTGATAAAATCTTAGTTGATTGATTAAGTTGTTTGTAGATATCTACACGGGTAACTAGAGTATCCGCGTATATTGAGTATGACCGGTTCTTAGGCTACGAATATGACCTGTTTTGGAAAGTCATGAGAGGCACAGCTGCTTAAAAATGGAAAATAAAGGTTAACTTCTATATTATCCTTTTTGAAATTGTGTTTGTTGAATATAGTTTATGCTGTATTTAATAGTAATGTAACAAAAAAATGTTAAACATGAGCTATTTTAGCAATGTAACTGTTCATAATGGAATATCAATCAGAAAGTACAGATTTCTCGCCTTAGAGCCAAATCATTAATATCACAGTAGAAAAAAACAAATCCCAAACCTTTTTATGGCTAACCTGAACAAGATCTCCAAATCTCAGTTTATATGATCCCCCGTAGAGTGAGCAATAGAAGGATCTATCTTTTCCCAGAGGATACGCTTGTGAAATGTCGTGGAAACGAGTGTAACACGGCCCACTGATTGTTTCACAATCGTATTCTCCAATAATGGGGCACCAGTGACATTCGTATTCTCAAAAATTCAAAGATGTATCATATTTGGACAGAGCAGGCTAAATTATTTAAAATATTCATGACTAATTCGTAGATCTAGCTATATATTATACATACGATGTGTCATCCTCTTCGGAGTTGCGTTGTGTTACACAAAAACTGATCAAAGATGCTGGAAACTAGGATTTTACGGCTTCAATCTAATATTAATACGTTTTCTCTTGATTAAGGCCCCTTGTGATATGCCTGGCATTATAAGTATACCAAGTATCATTCATTGACCAAGTAGGATAAAAAGAAAACGTTCGAAAGTGTTCATAAAAAGCAAGTACTCACCTCGTCTGTTTATAGGAACAGAAATACGGTCACACTCGTAAGCTTAGAACCGGTCATACTCAATATATGCGGATACTCTAGTATCCCGTGTATCTAGGACCTCAAAAGGATTCAAATTGAATGTATTACCATTACTTTTACTACATTTTAAATTTACTCCAAATAAAATTTTAAGAATATTATAGAAATAAGAATTGAAATGCAAATATTATAGATTTCAAATATTCATCCTCAGGATAGAAGCCCTAAAGCAAGAAATCCTCAAGAATAAATGTTTACAACTTGAAATGATAAAACTTAAAAAGTGAACAGACAGATTCACGTAAGGGGTATCAGATTGACTATGTCGTGCAATTGTGAAATTAACTATATTGGCTATGGGCTAATTTTAAGAACATGAGTACAAATAACATGATTATTCTCAACCTTAACTTAACAAGATAACATCTTTTTCACCAACTAGAGCCAATTACTGTTGCATGTACAAATCTTGGGCATGCTAACCAAACATTATGAGTTGAGTTTTTTAACAGTATGAACTAATGAACTTACATTCAAAAACATGATTTGAATCTATGAATGAAGTCAATGAGGTCAATTACAAATGTTTTCCTGGACTGTCCATATGACATTGATGGAAGTGTGTGGTTTGAATGAGAAGAGTTTTACACGTGCACTGACTTAATTTAATTCATGAAAAGGGACAAACGGTGAGTAAAATTGGCATTTTAAAGTTTAAAATAAGCATATGTGAATCATAATCTGTAACTTGATCAGGCTAGTAGCCAGGGGGATGGGTTTGGGGGGTTTGAGCGAAAAAAGTGAACCCCCTCAGCAAAAGTTGGCTACGGGCCTGTTGTTTGTGTGTAACTGGCAGCATGACAGTACCACTAGCATTCAATTTCAGATATTATAAAATGGAAAAATCTCAAGAAGCCAAGATTTATCTGAATTTTAAAGAGTTCATGAATTTGTCAAGGGGATTCAGTATCATTGAAAAACAAGGCATTACATGCAAAATGTCACAACCTGCCATTTGTTACAGATGCCAAATACCTACTGCCTTCTAGTCTCCTCCCCATTGCCATTCATCTAGTTTCCTCCCCTTGCCATCTACCTAGGCTCCTCCCCCTTGCCATTTACCCAGTCTCCTCCCCATTTCCATTTACCTAGTTTCCTCCCCTTGTCATTTACTTAATCTCCTCCTCATTGCCATTTACCTAATCTCCTCCCCCATTGCCATTTACCTAGTCTCCTCCCCATTTCCATTTACCTAGTTTCCTCCCCTTGTCATTTACTTAATCTCCTCCTCATTGCCATTTACCTAATCTCCTCCCCCCTTACCATTTACCTAATCTCCTCCCCCATTGCCATTTACCTAATCTCCTCCCCTTACCATTTACCTAATCTCCTCCCCCATTGCCATTTACCTAATCTCCTCCCCTTACCATTTACCTAATCTCCTCCCCCATTGCCATTTACCTAATCTCCTCCCCTTACCATTTACCTAATCTCCTCCCCCATTGCCATTTACCTAGTCTCCTGTCTTAACCTAGATATGGCCCCATAAAGTATGTGTTTCACAAATGTGTTATTATTTCTTATTTTTTACCCGTTTTTATTTCAGCGTCCACTATGGATCAACACAATGCCTATAATACTACAGCCAATATTGCCCCTGATATAGCGAAGATCATATTTGATGTCATACAACAGTACTATGGACTCTTTATGCTGTTTATTCTATTTGTTGTATGCCCATTAACATGTTTTCTTACGGAAAAATGTCGACAATGTGTGGCCCCAAGCAAGTTTAGAAAGAAAACTAAAATGAACTCTGGGGAAGGAGATAAAAATAAGTCCCAGAGTGGATTTAAAAGATACTGTGACCATATAATGATGTTGATGTATCATATTGCGACCAGGAACACAAAAGTTGGACCACCATCTAGTGATTTTCAAATAGCTCAGGAAAATCTCATTGAAAACCTCCCACAAGGACTAAGAACCCCTTCAAAAGATGAAAACAACAATAGTACATGTAGTAGTGATGCCCATGATCAAAATAACAAGGAAAATGTAGAAACCCCACGCAAGATATCCCCAACTCATGTCATCAAAGGTATTGATAACAATACAATGTTAAAGCAGCCAAAGGAGCTTGATGAAAACAATGTGTTTAATGACCAGATTAAAAAATCTATGTATCATATTGAAAAGAGAATCAATCATACTGAGGATAAGGTTGCACATGTTCAGATAATTGTGGTGCCAAAGATCACTGTTACGTATGCCCATACCAAAGATTTGGATTCTTCAAATGACAGTGTGTTTCTACCTTGAAATATAGGATAGGCCAAATAGCAAGAGCTAACTGATCGGACTAGTAAATTTGAGCCTGTTTCATGTACCAGGTTTAGAGGATGATATAATGTACAGGTCCAAATGCTGAGTTCCAATGAGAAATGTTAAAATACAATTGAAGTTTCATCTGACTTAATTAGTAAAATTTTGGTATAAATCTATTTTCTTAAAATCATTTATAACTAGACTTTTGAAGATTGCAAGCAATCTCACGGAGGCCCTCTTAGGCATTTTTGACAATTTGAAGGTCAACTAAAGGACAAATATGAAATCTGAGGTCAGATGTGAACTCCTGAGAACTTGTAGATTATTTTCAAAAAAAGATTTTGTCAATTTGAAGCAAGTTTAAATTTGACCTTGAAAAATTTCAAAATTGACCTTTTTTCAGCTTTTGAACTCTTATATCTCAAACTGGGACAAAATTCCATTAGATAGTCAATTGCTAATATGTGTAGAACCCTTAGAGGAATGTGTATATTTCGACTTCGGATTAAAAATATTGGTTTGTAGTCTCGAACTTTGCGAAACTTAGATAGCACAGTTTGTGACCTAATTCCATGATCTTGACCTTTGACCCTGAAAAGTTTTCCTTTTTAAGACCTCAGTAGGTCTTTTGTAATTAGGCTGACCTAAATTTGAATCCAAAGACTCAATTTGAAAAATAAACTTTTTTACCTTTCGAAGGTCACTGAGGTCAACTAAAGGTCAAAGGTTAAATCTGAGGTCAGATTTGGACTCCTAGGAACTTGTAGATGATTTTTTAAAAAAAATTGGTCAGATTGAAGCAAGTTGAAAAATGACCTTTTTTGACCGTTTTTGACGTAAATGATCTCAAAAATGGTAAAAATTTAATGCTGACATATTGTGAACAATTTGTAGAGAATACTAAAATGTAGTTTCAGTTTAATTCATCGCAAGAAATAATGAAGTATAAGGACAAACTTGAGAAACTTGAAAAAATTTAGATTTGACCTAGATTTTGACCTTTGACCTAATTTGATAACCGTGACCCTTGACCTTGAAAATTTTACTGCTTTAGAGCTCAGTAGGTATTTTATGATTAGGCTAACCCTAAATTTGAATCCAAAAACTCAATTTGAAAAATCAATTTTTCTGACCTTTCGAAGGTCACTGAAGGTCAACTAAAGGTCAAATGTCAAATCTGAGGTTAAATATGAACTCCTGAGAAGTTGTAAATGATTTTTAAAAAAAAATTGGGTGAATTTGAAGAAAGTTAAAATTTGACCTTAAAAAATTTCGAAATTTGACCTTTTTTCAGTTTTTGAGTTCTAATATTTCAAAACTGGAGCAAAATTTTAATAAATAGTCAATTGCTAATATGTGTAGAACCTTTAGAGGAATATATATTCTGACTTTCAGTAAAAAAAATTGATTTGTAGTCTCCAATTTTGAGAAACTTAGAAAACACAGTTTGTGATTTCGTTTGATGACCTTGACCTTTGACTTTGCAAATTTTACTTTTTTAGGCCTCAGAAGGTCTTTTGTGAATAAATATACCGAAATTTGAATCCAGAAAATTGATTTGAAAAATCAACTTTTTTGACCTTTCGGAGGTCACTGAAGGTCAACAAAAGGTCAAAGGTCAAATGTAAGGTCAGATTTGGAATCCTGAGAATTTGTAGATGAGTTTTAAAAAAAAATTGGTCAATTTGAAGCAAGTTGAAAAAAGACCTTTTTTGACCTTCAATATCTCAAAATCTAGGCAAAATTTCTCTAGACGGCAAAAGGCTAAGACTAATAGAATACTAATATCTATCTGTATGCAAAAATTCAGCCAAAAATAATGAAGTGTAGTGTCGGGATTTGAGAAACTTGAAAAAAACTTAGATTTGACCTAGATTTTGACCTTTGACCTTGACCTAGATAAAAATTTCTTTCCCCCAATTTCAGCTGAGGTTCCTAGTAGGAGCATATAGTAAGTAGTTGAGAGCTAGTTGGAAGTAGGAGAAAAATGCTTTGATAGAATAAGAAGAATAAAGAAAAGCTACAAAAGCTATAGGAGGCCCTTTCAGGAGGGCCTCCTAATAATTATAGGACGTTATATGAGCAATATGTAAGTGCTTTGAAGTATAAGTATGCACATGTTTTAATGTATTCATTTTGTATTTTTCTCTTCTGAGAAAGCTTTTGCCACTTAAATAACATGTGGCTAAATTAACATATAATGTATACTGTATGAATTCTGCATGCCCAAAGTAGCTAGATTTTGTAAAATATGTTACAGAAATATAAAATAAAAGTTAGAAAATCATGATATCTACATCACTGATCATAGCTTCTGACATGAGAAAATGTAGTAACGAAAAAAATTCTATGTTATTGTACTTCATGTTAATCTTGAATAATATAGTGGCTAAATGGAACTGACTGTGGACTAGAACTGGAATTCAGTCGTCCAGGTTAAAGAAATTACATGGGTTGTATAAAAGATGAAATATGAAAATCATTATGACGGCATTACGCACTAGTGAGCAAAATCAGTATATTTCATACAGAATGTCAATTTGAACTCTGAACAACAGATATTACGTATAGGCTATTAAACTTTATTTGATTAATAATGCAATACACATCTAGCTATCTTTTTCAAATGACACATAACAAGCACTCTAGATCCTTCTTAAATGATTCCTTGATATTTCTATGTTGGGTATGTGGACAAGATTACACATTTAAAATACACTTATTTCAGAAAATGTGTAGAAAATTATGGAAACAAACTTTTTCTTATATTATCCTGGCATGGAAATAGCATGCTTTCAATGATTATGACATATTCTACACATCCCCATTGTTAAAAGCTTTCACATCACCTTGTTTGTATTCAATGAAATAACACGTGAACAACCAGAATCCCAAAATTTTATGTAATTTTGGTTTTTATAAGTTAATTATACTTACCTATTATGTCATTACAATATGCTAAAAGCTACCATAGTCACCTTTTATTGGAACAATTATTTTCTACTTTCACTTTCACTTTCGGTTTCCCGGAAGCCCCGCCCACTTTACGTCATAGTTGCGCATGCGCACCATTCATTTTTCACTAGGTGAAACGCTTATTTTAAAGCTGATAAGCGGGGTGGCAAGGGAGGGCTTTTGATGTAATGACATAATAGGTAAGTATAATTAACTTATAAAAACCAAAATTACATAAAATTTTGGGATTTTACTACGTAAATTAATATCACTTACCAATTATGTCATTACAATATGCTGAATCCCACCAGAGCAGGTGGAGGGATATTAGCTTAGAAAATAAAATACTCCAAAAACAGCATTAACTGATTAGAATTCGTACTTGAATCACTATCCTTACCATAGGATATTAAGTTAAATAATTTTGCAACGCAAAACTAAAAGTAACAAGTGAAAATAATTTATCCAAGCACACTCCTTTGTTATTCATATCTTAATTATTGATAACAAATAATTGGAGATGAATAACAAAAACTTTCCACCTTTTATTGGTAGAATTATGAACTATAAGACTTTAAAACTTACTTAAACAGTTTTGTTCGCAGCAATGAAGTGGTTGCCTTCGAAGTCTTTCAAGGACACTTCCTTTAAGTAGAATGAAGTGAACGTGTTAAAGTTAGTCCATCTTCCAGCTTGAATAATCTCGTCTAGAGTGCAATTCTTCGCAAAAGCAATGGAAGTTGATAAGGCTCTGAGTTGGTGAGTTTTAACCTTATAAACCTGCTCAGCATGCTTGGGAAAAGACTGTAATGCCTTTGCTACACAATTCTTCACCCATGAAGTTATTGTGTTAGCATGTATCTCTTCTTTATAGCCTTTCTTGTATGATATAAACAATCTTTGTTGTTTATCTCTCATGGGCTTTGATCTTCTCATATAAACTTTTAATGCTCTAACAGGGCATAAAAGTTTGTCATCTTGAAGATCTGGTGTCAAAAAACCTGTTAAGGCTTTTATCTCAATGTCCTTCAGGACAGTACCTCCAGCCTTTAGTAAGGTCTTGGGTACAAAGTCAGATTTGAATCCCAGAAAAATGGATTGCCAGTCAATACTATGTGACACCTTCTTAAGCACCAAGGCATGTATCTCACTGCGTCTTGCTGCAGATGCTAACAGAGTGAGAAAAACTGTTTTCCACGTAACAAATTTTAAATCAACTATCTCGATAGGTTCAAAAGGAGGTCTCATAAGACCTTGTAGGACCACATTTAAATCCCAGTTTGGAATTTTATTAGAGATATTCCTCGGTCTTTCTTGTTTGAAATTAGATAACAAACAAGAAATCAAAGGATCTGAACCAATATCTAAATTCGAAGTTTCTTTCAGAGTATTACCTAAGGCTGTTCTGTATCCTGCTATAGTAACTGGTTGAAGTTTTCTATCTTCAAATAACCAATTCAGAAAATCGGCTACTACAGTAACAGAAGTTCTGAATGGATCTCTATTCCGTTCAGAACACCAACTAGCCCAGACTCTCCATTTCAAGTCATATACCTTGATCGAGGAGTTTCTTTGAGGTTTTGCAATTCTTTCTGCAACCTTGTTTGAAAAGCCTTTGTTTTTAAAGGATTGTTTGACAGCCTCCAAGCGTGAAGCTTGAATATTTGGGGATTTTGATGAAATACCCATTGTCTTGTCTGTTTCAACATTTTTGGAACTACTGGAATGTGTAGAGGTTTCTCTACAAGAGACTCTAACAGTCTGGGATACCATGCTTGTTTCTCCCATAATGGGGCAATGAGAATCATTTCTACATTTGTCGTTTGCAACATCTTGTTCAGAACTAGAGAGATTAATGGTGTCGGGGGAAAGGCATAAGCCCACAGACCTTTCCAATCCATACTTAGAGCATCTACCTCCCATGCTAGCATATCCGGGACTGGTGACACAAATAGAGGTAATTTCGTGTTGTGTCGTGTCGCAAAAAGGTCTACTAGAGGTTTTCCCCATTTCCTGCAAATTGCATGGAAAATTTGATC